CCAACTTATGGACATGGATGGATAAGAAAAGGTCCACACAGAAATCGCCGCACCAACTGCCGCGCGCGACGATTCTCGCCGCGTGAGCGGCGTGACCTCATTAGCCGACGATTGAATTGACCGTCTCCCGTTCTAGTCCTAGTCGATCAGGTCTAGGATTAGCTTTATCCGAAATAATGACGTCGTGGGAATCAGGGGTCACCCCTGGAGCCGGAAGCTATTCAAGGGGGATATCGTGGACCAAGTGTATTTCTATACATGCTTGTTTTCTCCAATAACTGGAAAGGTTTATTTATCCATGCCAGGAAGGATCGCATATGGTTTCAACCCCAAGACATACGGTCAATGGTAATCATCCCTTGCTAGCATTATCTTCAAATTTGCAGTTGCTCTCTCCCCTGGCAATCTCTGTGAGCACGACATCGAAGTTGGAGAGTGCAGTGGAGTCTTCGTGAGATTCGGTTACGACAAGTCAACTAACGATTGTCGTCAGTTCACTTATGGAGGTTGTGGAGGTACGTTTAACTGCTGAATGCTTGACATCTCTCTAAAATGTGCCTGCATAACACCACTCAAACCATACCGTTGAAGGTAACGGCAACAACTTCGCTACTATCCAAGAATGCCGCAACGTGTGCATAAAGAAAGTATGCAATGCAAATCCGCAGTGCGATTTGACTCGCTGCCAGATCGTCAACGATCGTAACGGATGTCCGTTCTGCAGCTGTCCACCAACTAATCAGCCATTGCCACCAGGTCTGTGGCTTTGTTTATCTTTCTCAAGCTCTTGCACTTCATGGAATTCTTTTTTTCGTGAACACCTAATTTCTTTTTTATTCCTGCCCTCTCTTGAAATCTCTCCTCCAACACCTCGCAAGTAGAGCCTTTCTGTAGTAGAGACCAGCTCATATCGGCACTCACACCCTTCGAAGTGGAGCCTTGGGATAAAACTAGTGTAAAAGAGCGCCTCGTAGTGATGACTGAGCTGCGGAATGAACTGAAAGTGGAAGGGAAAAGCAAGAGAAATCATCGGAACGCTGAAATTAAGGCCTTAACCTCAAAGTAAGGTCGGATGTGGTACGACGGCGAGACAGGGCGATCAAAGAAGACAAAACACGCGAGAGAGCACGCTGATCTCTACATCAATCGCGGTGGGTGGGAAGCGTTGCAACGGGGGTCGATGGTTGCAGGCCCGTAAGGATTAGCGCCCTAACCGCGCAATTTTGCGACGAAGCTGGAGTGATCTAGGTAGGTACGGACCTTACAATTTCCCTCGCGGTATCCTTCCTACACAAGTCGGGCTAATCCTGGTTTGCTTTTGAGTCGTGCACCAGGAGATAACGATTAGGTTTCTCATAAGTGCCGTGTCGCTTTTTTAAACCAAAAAAATTTTTTAGCTGAATCCTGATGCTTTTACATCGTGTTATATACCATTCGAAAGAGAATTGTCTGCTCTACAAGATGTTATGTTCCTTTCCACCTATGTTCCATGGTTTTGAATTTTAGGCCTGCGAAATGGGAGGTCCAGCCGACAAAAATTGACCAAACCGACAACTATCTCTAACTTTATCTTCCCTTGGGAGAAATCAATAAATGATGTACCCTCTCTACTTACACATGACCTCTTCTTAACATTCGACTATTAGGTTCCCTAAGAAGTCGCGTCGCTCCTTTTCCAGACCTGGTTTTTCAACCAGAACTCGACGGTCGAGCACCATTAGCTGAGATCTAGGGCAAAATTTTTTTATAGCCGAGACATTGAAAAACTAGTAGAATTCAAAGAACAAGTCATGACTAATTTAGGAATGTACGCCTGGTTGATTTTCTCATCTTCTCAGGATAATTTTTTTCAAAGAAATGCGGTCACTTTCGCGGATAAAACACCTTATTGCTAAACACCTAAAATTCGAACTAATTCCCAACAAACATAAGAATAAAACAAATCAGGGATGAGAGCAGAAGAAGTGCTCCAAAAGGAACACCACTTGGTATGAAAAATGGCGTTTACGAGGAACAATTTTAATTTGAAAATTGCTATGGCTCATCGGTCAGCCATACGAAAAGAACACGGAAAGTTTTTGAATAACCAAAGTGAAGTTTGGAAGAGTCATGGGTAAGTAGAAGGTATATCATTGATTGATTTCTCCCCAGGGAAAATAAAGTTACAGCTAGTTGTCGGTTTGGTCAATTTTTGTCGGCTGGACCTCCCATTTCGCAGACCTAAAATTTGAAAACCCTGGAACAGAGGTGGAAGAGGAACAGAGCATCTTGTAGAGCAGACGATTCTCTTTCGAATGGTATATAATATGTGAAAGCCTAAGGATTTAAGAAAACTTTTCTCTTTGAAAAAAAGCGACACTACTTATGAGACAACCTAATCCACTTCGTGGAGGAATGCGACGTGAATTTAATAATTGGCTATGTTCGGTCGTAAATCCTGCCCCACGGGGTACTATTGTGATAAATTGAAGGAATAGTCCACAGGAAAGCTGTTCAGTCATTACCGGTATAAAGGTGTTGTGTGTGGCCATGAAAGACCATGCGCGAAGTTCCGAGTAAAAAGAGTGAAATCCCAAAAAGAAACATTCCCTGGACAACCTATCTCAACGGCTGCCATCGCCATCAGGAGACCACAATGTGTTCTAATAGCAAAGTGCATGATAGGGGCGGATCCACATGTAAGTTTCTAGGAAAGTCCAATCAGAATCCCGTTTATGTTTACAGCTTCAACACGTTTGCGTATTGGCTCACAACGCCGAAGATATGGTAGTTTACGGCGCGAGTTCAAATTGTATCGCCTCCCTAGTTACTTGAATTAAATATCGACTCCTTTAGTACAGAACACTATTGAAAATAGCGACAGAGTACTCTTAGATAAACGAAAAGACATCGGTACATCCTGTGGCGAAAACCTCCATAGAAGGCGCTTCTACAGACTAATTCCGCGCTCCATATAGGCACCTATTGTGGTATAAGCGGCGAAAACCGATGCGTGCCAAACTGATTCCTTTCCATTGAAGGAAACCAAGCAAGAACGTGAATAGCTGGTCACGGCAATGACTGAAGCGCGCCGAATCGGATTTTTGTTGCATTAAGGAGAGGCGCGCAGCACGTCCTGAATAAGCTAGAAACAAAGGCTGTAAAGATAATACGGTCTTGTGGTTTTCATTCTATTCCGACATTTGTCTGCTGAGGCACCACCCTGCACAATTCCCCTTTGATATCAAATTATAAGCAATGCCAAGACCTGGTTCAACTCTACATCTCTTTACTGTATCCATTTCCTGTTTTCTTTACTGGTCCACTCTTCAGCGATGCTGGCTTGAAACAATCCTTCATGTTTAGGAGCTGGACAGTGTCCAGAAGTCGACGCGGACAAGTGCAAAGAGCCTTGCATTGTCATCAACAATAGAAAAGGTTGTAAGGTATGCGATAGCTCTTTTGCTGTAGAGCTTGACAAACCAAAGCGGTACCGACCATTGTCGACCATAGCTATCCCCGATTTTCGCCCATTTTCAGGACTGTGTATGCCCTTCGCTGCCCGGCTCTATCAACCAGCCACCGGCTTCATTTGATGAGCAGGATGTGTCTCCACCGGCACCATCAACGCCCCGTCCTACCAACCCGACGGCTCGTGTGAATGCAAGCTTCAGTACCTCTCCTGCAAGCACCAGTTCATGTGGCGCCTTACTCGGACCAACGTCGTCGCGCTCACCTCCAGGCACACAATCACTGGCACATTCATACGTCAAGGTAAACGCAACCCTGTATGATTCTTTTAAGTGTCTGTAATATCATCTTTAACCTTGTGTGCGTCATTTTTTTGAATTTGTGTGGTAAATTGTGTTCGCGATTACAAAGTGCCTTGATATTGTGTACCTTTCAGAGATCGTTGCCTACGCTCGAGTCTTACGCAGTCGAAAACATAGAATTCGATCGACAGCAGATTGCTGCCACCCTAACCGTGTCAGCTCATTACAGAAACATGCATCCCGTGGTCATTACATACCTAATTCTTACTGGTATTGAATGATGCGAATGGTAAGGGTTCCACAAGTGGTGATAGGATTCCAACTCTTGCATTCAAATCGAGGACCGACCATACACGAAAAAACTTTCACTCGCGCGATTTAAGACGAATGCGCCAGCAGTGAGCAGAGTCAACCCGTGCGTTGCGCAGTTCTCAACGGCCACGTTGCGCAGTTTCGCCCGATTAGACACGTTCTCTCGCGCGAACATTCACACTCGCATGCTCGAGCCGTCTGTGTCTCCGCCCACAGCGTGCGTTGAGGATCTCTCAACGTGCCGTTGCGAACTGCGCAACGCAGGGTTGACTCTGCTTGACTGTCTTTAGTTAGCCGTCGCCCTTGCACATTATGTAGGCCTCCTTCTTCACCTATACGTAAAGCATGCTAAGGTGAAGCATATATCAAGAAATTCACTCAAGTAGTGGAGGAGCTAACTGAGGAGAGAGGAGAGAGCAAGCGGACGCCGTCGTCGAGCTCGTTTCCTGTAGCAGATGGCAGGAGGTTGGAGCATCCTGGGATGGAGCTTTGTCATGGGAGAAAATACCTTTACCCTCCTTCCCTTTTCTCCGCTGGCCATTGCGAACGATCAAGGTGGTTTTGCGTGGGTGTCCACATATCGTTCCTAAAAGCATTGTGGACGACGCAAGGCGTTAGTCACTGGTGACCGTCCCTTTGCGCGCTGCCAGCTCATTTCAATTGATGCTGCCGGGGGACAGTCGGGAATTGCCGCACGGTATGCTGGTATGTGCATTATGGCAAAATAATTGGAAATCGGTGCGCACGGTGTATGAGTTCCAACCAAAAGGAAGTATGTAATTATTGTACCTAGAATGTATCTCGTGCACGAGAATTTGAGCACCTCACTGGCTCGAAACTGAGACACGAGGTGATGGTCCTACAAACTAGAAATGACCACGACGACATTTCTTGCATTCTATAAATCGAGACAGGCCTGAAGGAAGGGAGCCCAAGTGGCGGGGCATGCACCGGTGTGGGCGGGGCTACGATCGGATCTTAATTACGATGATATGCCTTGCAGTAAAACATCGTGAAAAATCGGCATCGGCAAAGGCTAGAAAAAGGTGGACAGTCAGATGCTACGCGGCGAAGACGAATTTGAAAGTTTGTTAACTGCGTACCATATCGCCGAGGACCGTGGTATGCGCGCAATTGCGTGGAGCCAATTTGCTGTTCATAACTGGGAGCAGAATTCAGGAGTGGAAATGGAAAGAAGAAAAGCGAGCGTAGTCGTTCTTTTCCTAAAAACTGTGGTTGGATTTGTAGGACGAAGCGTTCAATTCTGTCTTTCTTTTCGAAAACGACCATGGTTCAATTTGATAAGTGAAGACGGTAAGGAGTGTTTCAGGAGCCTGGCCCATGTAAACATTTCGTCGATCGCTGGTTCTTCAACGTGGAGGACGGAACTGCCACCCATTCAAGTACGGTGGCTGTGCAGGCAACCGTAACCACTTCTTCTCCCAGAACGAATGCGAGATTCACTGCGCCCGTTTCCTACGTAAGTTTTTCTCTCTTGAATTTTGTATCTATTTTTCTATTTCTCTGCAAAGGGTGTACGATCACGATATCATTGTCCTAACAGTGATCACACCGGCTGTACCTGCTGTCTTAAATGACATCCTTTGCAGTGTTTTCCTTTGGGGTCGTTTGTAAGGTTTTGAGACGTTTAATAATTTGCCACTTATCTGCACGAGGGGAATTCGTCGTACTCACTTCCGGGATGATCATCGTTCAAGTCTTTGTGTTGTGTGTGTGTTAAGGTGTCCGTGTTGATAGCTGTTCCGTTTCGATGAGTTCAATTTTGCTTGGTATTCGCACCGGCCGAGATTCTGCCATTCACGCTTGACTACTGGGTGTTTCATCCCGCGTTTGCACCATTCCGCTTTGCATGTCGCTGCTTTGACGAATTACAAACCTCATTACTGCGCCTCACCGAAGACTTATTTTAGATCGGGTACCGTCGGTACCCAGTACTCCGTTGCATGTGCATGAGAATGAAAACGCTGCTGATCTGGATCCAAAGCTGACAGTCGCAGTGCACGTCGATGATCGCCGAGGACGCCAGCCGGTGCCGCTTACTCAGCCACCACCAATGCTTGCTAAGATCGTAACAACAACCACAGCAAAAACAACAACCACCACAGCAACGACTTTCAGTCGAAACATACAAGTAGACCAAAGGTCGCACTCATCAGCCGCAACTCCTGCAGCAAAGACCAAGCGTCCAATAGCGGTGGCCTCATTGCCGTTCGATTTACCGCCCAGTGTTCGAGCGCACGCACTACCCAACTATGTCCCAGACAGCAACCAGCGTCCACCTCTGGTGACAACTACATACTATCCAGAGACATATGAAGCTTGGGGAATCGATCTGAATCGCCATCCAGAGCTGGGCAGCGCCAGTGCAAGTTTACCATCTTCACCTAGTACTACCACCGAGTGGCCAGCACCCAGACCTCGACAAAAGCCAGCTGTCATTCACAAAGAAGAACTTTCACCTAGATCAGTTGATGAAACAACTACTCACCGTACAACAACCAAACAGCAACATAATATAGAGGAACGTAGAAGGTTCACTTCGACGGCCCCACCTGCCACCAAGATTGTTCATAGAGAACAAAGCACTCCGGAATCCATTTCCGAAACAACCACCCGATTCGCAAGGACGAGGCAGCACCAAACTTTCGAGGAAGGGGAACAATTTAGCCCGAGACCTATCCCAAATCCAAGACAGCTCTCAGGTGCTAGCGGAAAAACAGTCAACCGCCCTTCAACAACAAGCCAACAGACTTTCGAAGAGCACAGGAGCACATCAGCACCAACAATTATAACTTTTTCCCCAAGAGAACACAACCAACGAGAGCCACTAAGAGAAACAACCACTCGCTCGGTGACGACAAGACCGCAGCGGATTCTGGAGGAACGCTTCAATCCCGCCGCTCCACGTTTTTCACACGTCTTATCTCAAGGTCAAACGCCCCTACCAAAGAAATCCCGTCATATGTTTGAAGACGATTCGAAGGTAGAGCCCATACTTGTAAAACCTTTGGAGCCGTTGAGGGAAAGCATTCAGCCACGAGCTGATACTGTTCCGCCCACGAGAGCTCAACCGACAACAGCAGCACCGCAAGTCACTGAACATGACCATCTGATCAATGCCGTGCTCAGAGAGAACCAACCTTCTGTTCAGCTCCCCGCTCCAGAAATCCTAGATAGATCGCAGCAACCTCGTCAGCAATCCGTCGCTACTCATCCACATGTCTACAGAACCAATTCAATAGGGAATTACAATCCGCAACAAAACAACAATCTGGCTGGATTGTCCCCTCCTGTGGATCCCACCTATTTCACATACAATTCACAGCATCTCGGGGGAAGTGGCAATCGTCAATTCGCCGTGAACGGCATGCCATTCAACAGACAATTGCCTTTGACGAGAACCAGCTGGAACCAGTCGCCGTTCCGCGGTCAAGAAGCGCGAGCAATGGCACCACAGACTTTCTCTGCCGTGAGACCTGATCAGCAATTCCAACCAATTATGCAAACGAATCAATTCAATCAACCTCAGGCTCACGTACCACAATTAACCATTCGGAATCCGTCTGCAGATGCCGTTAACGGTGCTGGGTTACAGCAGCCCTCTGGACCCACAAACTTCCCAGGGAGAAGAATCCCCCATCCAGAAATGGACATTCCCCGACAATCGAGTGCCCAGAATCGTCAGATGGAAGCATTTCCACCAGACACGACTCCTTTCACTCCTCAGTCGCACGTAGCGACGCAATCTGATACAAACCCGGGAGGGAAAACCTCTGAGCATGCATTGTTTGAGCCTAGCCGTGGTAATGCACCTGAGTTCAAGACAGGCCCATCAGCTCATAGCCAGGGAGCTAATCGCTCACCTCTCCTTGCGCAACCCACCATCTCTTCCTTTGCCGATGAGCAATCTCGCCCATCTTCCTCCATGCAGTCATCGAAATTCTCTGGTGTCCCTCAAGGATTTTCCCAGCATTACAGAAATACACCGCCATTCATGCTCATGGTTCAAAACGAAGTGAGACCTTCCCAGAGAATAAGAAGTGAGCCCAACAATGGCGATTTTGTTCAGTCAAGAGGAGGGCAGCCAATGGAACCTGTTCATACATCACCATCAGCTCATAGTCCAGAGCAACCAACGAACAGTCAAGTGGAACAGCCGGGTAAAGGCAACCGCGGTTCGAATGAACCACGTCAACCCGTCGATTTTAACCGATCCAGCCACAATGTGCCTATCAATAAACAAGCTGAGATTAAAAACGTTCAAAAACAGTTCGCCTCAAAGCAAAGCACCATTGAGGAGCGTGTGACTCGTCCAGACGGACCGCCTCGCAACGAATTTCCAAGAAGAACAATAGAAAACAACCGAATGGTGGTCAGTTCTCGACCAAATTTAGCTTCGCCAGTAGAACAGGGCATAATCGAAACAAAAAGTGAATGGGAGAGGGTCAATTCTCAGCTGACCCCAGGCGAAGTGAAGAACTTCCGCAGCCATTTCACAAAGGTGCCCGCCCCGAGAGATGACGGTGACAGCGGTGAGTTCCCCGCAAACATCGATCGCAGCAGATTCATCTTTTACAATGGCGACTACTACGCACCAACCATACCTGGAATTCGCGTACCTCGACCGGACCTCGAGAATCTACCCCAAGGCGCACAAGTTTCCTACCCTGGAAGGGCCACCTATGAAATTGTTCCGTGATTTCCAACTGCACTCGAAGGAGTTCCAGAACACGGCACCGCTAGTGAGCGGAGCTCGCTCGGCCTCTGACACTCCGCTGACTATTATGAACAAATCGCTCTATCTGAAACAGGAGGGCTCTGTCATTAATGCGCCACCCGTGCGTGTGCCCGACAAACGACCACGTAAGCTACAAGAACTTTCTGAACGACTCACCACTAATGAGTATCCTGAGTTCCTTCGTGCACCACCGCCTAACAGCACACGCACTAGACCTACGCACACACTAAACCAAGTCAATCCAATTCAAGATGCACCGTATGACAATTTTCCAAAACACATGCAGCACTTTAACATCACACTCACTGACCCCAACACTAATCAAGCACCAAACGATCCAGCTAACCATCCCATGCGACTCAATATTCAGCCTATTCGTAGCTTTACAGGAATAATTTCCGATGACGACGATGAAGAGGAAGATTCTGCTGAAGAGATACCTCGACGTGCTGCTGGAGTTGCACAGGCTCACGCTCGTGAGCCGATCGGACTCGAGCACTTCCACGCACCGTCACCGTCCTTCAGAGGAGCAGCTCATCCACAAGCGATTCACGGTAAGAAGATCGCAAAGATCCCCGCCATTCACATGGATGGATTGAGCACCTCCAGCACAGAAGTTTTCGAAGATAATCAGGACGGCCTGGCACGAACTGATCGCCCACAAACAATCACTGGCCAGCGAGTGTCCAGGATCACACTGCGTCCTCACAGCACCACCGAAGCACCCCATCCACCTTCCACCACTTCAAGAAGTTCCACGGTCACTGCTGTAAGAAGCACTAGTCCTAGCTCGACCACGACTAGACGAACCCCTCGCACAGAAAGCACCACCACTGCCAATGCTGACGAACTGCAAAGTAGCACGGTAGCCACAGAGACCAGTTACGGTACCACGCCAGAAGGAGCACCACTGGAAGGACAAGCACCTTTAGAAACGGTCTCCTATTCTTCCACGACCGAAGCAAATACTTCTGAGACCGACGCCTACAGCGATGTCACGCAGACAAAGCTTCTTGAGACGACTACCGCAGTCGGCACAGAATCTACTACAGAGAGTTTGCGCGATTATTCCAGCACTCTTAGTTCACACTCCACCTCAGACTCTTCTTCCAGCAGTCCTTTGCCAACAGATGGCGATGTTTCTGAGGGAACGTACCTACCCACCACTGCAAAAAGCACCAACGCACCTCTTTCATCGAGCACATCGTCTTCCAGTGAGCCTGCTGATGAAATTGTGGCCTCTGATGAGGGCGCTGTCACGTCTGTCAGTTTGTCTGCTATTCTATCTACCACCATTTCACCTGCAAGCACCGACAGTGGTGTCACAGTCACTAGTGACGTGACGTCAGATACCTTTTCCACAAGCACAGCCATTCCATCGCATGCTGAGTCCACCACCAGCACTTCAGAAGAGACAACAGTCGCACCCATATCCACCGACAGTAGCACAACTGTCGTCGACAGCAGCACGGCAAGCACCACTCTCCCTGAAAATCCCCACACAAAGGAGGCAAATATCCCCCATCAATCGCTGGGTGGTAGTGACAACACTATTGACCACGATGCCAAAACTTCTGATGATGAGCATACCTCTGAGGAAGAAATTGAATTTTTCGATCCTAACAATTTGCCTCCTCCACCACCAGAGAACGATCGTCGTCCACCAATGAAGATAGAACAGCCGCATTTGTATGGTGAGACGATTAAAGCCCTGAAAAAAGTCGAAATCTTGCCGAAGTCCATCATCACTGGCAGTGCACCCACTTTCACGGCAAGCTCCACCGACAGCACAATTCAGTCCACCACTGTCGACCCTACTCTCGCTGAAAATGGCGACTCCTCTCCAGAGCACGTTCCTTCTCATTCATCTTTTGAAATGTCTAGTTCAGAAGATATGGCCGGGTACTCTGTAGGACGAGAACCTGTGCCGCTCTCACCAGTTGGAATCGGACGCAATATGGAACGGCTAGACATTGACGGGCTAGGTCAGTGTTCAGTTTTCTTTTCTGAAAAAAGTGTCTTTTGTAAATTTGGAGCAACACCAGCAACAGGGGTAGCGTCCTAGAATTTATAGTCCAGTAGGTGGGATAGAATAGCCTACTAGTATCACAAATGTGCCGTTGTCGCGGCTCGAAAGTGCGCGACAATGGCGCTAGGGTCTTACAAAGTGAACTTATGGCGACTAATCTTAGCATTTGGACGAGTTACGTCGCGCACACCCATGATACGCAACGTGGATTACGGCGTAGCGGCTATTCAAAAATGCGCAGGTTAGTGGCGGCGGAGCAAGCCATTCTAGAAAGCTCGTCCGATCCCACCTCTTCCTTTTCTAAGGGAAATCCTTGTTGAGGGCTCCATCGAAGGTTTTCTTTGCTTTTCCTCAGCTAAGGCATCCACAATTCCAATACTGTCCCCTGTAATTCCACAAGTTTATTCGGGGGTGCTGCCTTGAATTCAATTTATTTCAATTGTATTCTGTTACAAATGAGAGGACCTACTTAAAAAGTTCAGTACAGTGGGTGAATACAACTTGCAATAACAAGATGAAGTGATCATGGAAAATCAGTATATGTAGCTGCAAAAAACGGTTAGAATACAAATATGTTAGGGAGCCCAGTGACAAGAGCTGACTGATTTAGCTTGCTTAGCGAAAAAACTCTACTTCACTGTTCTGATAGTGTTGAAACTAAAAACTGAAACTAGACTTAACTGCATTCATATCGTTGAATCTTTTGGAATGTGGTTGTGCTGATCGAGTTTTTCGCTGCTTGCTCCCCCTAGGAGCATATTTTTTTGAATTTGGTCCGCCGCCAGAAGCTTTATGCCCCAAGGTCGTTAGTGTGATGTGGTCGAGTACTTATCGTATTTGGTTTGGTAACGTTTGAGATTTCGCTTTCCTTTTGTGTCTTGTTTCAAAACAGCCTAGGAACACATCCTCATTGATATGAGGATTCATTCGAGAGAGCGATTCAGCGCGCATAGTGGTTATTCTTAGGCGCCAGCGAGCTGATGTTCTTCGCGTCAAAAGTTTTGCTCGAAAATGATTGATCAGAAACATCGTTGAGCGCATATATTCAAGCAAGGAAAAACGGCCAACGAATCTCGCTCATTGGGTGCAAAACATTGAGCAGTAACACTTAGTCTCTGGATGCACTTCCAGCTATGGTTCAGCTCTTTCCAAGACTGAGATAAAGGACTTAGGACGGAGAGCGTAGATATTGAGGTGTACCTGTGGAACGAAGAAAGAATGCAACCAAATTGGAGCTGTCGTAAATTACACAGAAACTTTTAGAGAGATTTGGCTGTGTCAACAGTAAAATTTGAAAGCTTCTACGTGCGACTGCTAAGGCCTTTTAGGATAGAAGTGGTTCGTCTATTCTATGCAAGCAGTACTGGTTGTCAATACTGAACTCTCTTTCATAACTCCAGGAGTACGGGGGCTCGAGGTTTCATTGTAAGCGCAGTTCACAGTAGGTTGTTAGCCGTCAACAACGGTTGGAAGCAGATGAACAGCTGAGAATGACTCCAAGACTGGACGTCCTTGAAAAAAGTCCTGTTTGTTTATGATGAAGCAGTATATTGGTTACAGTTACAGCTAAACTCTGGCGGCACGACATGCCATTCCGCGCTGCTCAAGAGATTGCTCGTCAGTGGAAAATCAGGCCTTATAACTATTGGAAGATAACGCAGTGCCACATCTCGCGAAAATTTCGCTACAAAAAATTGGGGAGTAGGGTTAGAACGTTCCGCTTTCTGCGCCATATAGCAGATATTTGGCAGCATCCTTGTTATTGAGCCGGTCAATGCCGGTCCTTAGACCAAATTATCTCATAACCCGCGACACATCACAATGTTGAGTACTAACTTCTTCTAGTCGACTAAAAGAGCTTCACGGGGTAGGCCTCCCTGCTTTGCGTAACAAAAGGCGAAGAGTGATTGAATAACATGGAGGATAATTTTGGATTGATGTGATTTGATACAGCTTCTATATTTGAAATAACGGCTGATCAAAAACGACATTCCAAAGTTACCAACCGAATAATTTGAGGGCGAATTTGGACGGGTGGGTTTCAAGAAGGAAATTTATGAGTGCATTTTTCTCAAAATAATGTGATTTTGTGAGCGAAAAATCGCGTGTTTTTCTTATGACCCCTTTCTATCGTTCTCATTCTTTTTTCGCCTGCTCGTGATTCAATTATTTTCTGCGGTTTCAACTAACTTCCTAGAATGATGCCCCCGCTTTCGACTCATATCAGCTCCTGAAAATGGAGCGACCCCTCCAAGGAAATCTCTTTTGATACGCTACGGGTGCTTTCCTTTTCATTACGTTCCGCTTATTGGAACCAGAAAGTAGGTCGGGTAAATTTGAAACGGCCACAAGGCCGAGGTCATAGTTGCGAATCGAGCGATTCGCTAGCGAATCGCTGGATCCGAGCGTTGCGCCAGCGAATCGAACGTTGCACCAACGAATCGAACTTTGCGCCAGCGAGTCGAACTAAGGTACCAGCGACTCAAGTGGGCGGGACCAACGTTTAAAGGAAGTCCGCCACTTTCAAACAGTGTCCACTGCAAAGTCCCGCCACTTTCAAACAGCGTCCACTGTCACGTGACACTGTTTGAAAGTGGCGGGCTTCCTTTAAACGTTGGGTCCCGCCACTATTGAGTCGCTGGTACCTAGTTCGACTCGCTGGTACATCGTTCGACTCGCTGGCGCAAAGTTCGATTCGCTGGTGCAACGTTCGATTCGCTGGCGCAACGCTCGGATCAGCGATTCGCTAGCGAATCGCTCGATTCGCAAACTATGACATCGGCCTAATAAGGAGCAATCAAGCATCCTTAATAACTTCGTAGGCTATCCCGCGTTAGCATCAGTACAATACCGCTACTAATTTTTGTTCAATCGACGGTTTGCGACGGTCGGAAACCGTCGCAAACCGTCGGCTCGCCATAACTCTTTAAAAAATGGTTCGCTCGACCTGCAGTTTATACCATCTGATAGCTCTGCTCGAGATCTACAAGATGGTTAAATTCAATTTCTGAAAGAGCTCCATCTAGGATTGCGCCATGCACTCGACCTCCATCCCGAGAAGTAATGAATATACTTTGTATGTGATGCGCATATAAGTCCTCCTATGCAGCCTGATCATCCCACAGAAACATGGATCTCAACACCTCAGAATACGCCACGTACCCAACCGGTCCACCATATGGTGAGATTGAATGAATGTTTTTTTTTCGAATTTCACGATCTTTAATTCGTTCTAGAGCGCTAATTGGCTAACCGTGCGCTGATCAACCCATTCTTCCACTCCAAATGAGAATCTTCGAACAGTTTCCAGCAGTAGTAGTAGACCTATTATGTGACATTCCCCACATTTAGAGGAGATGATTTGCGGAAACCTGAGAAGATAGCCAGGAATCTCTCCACAGACGTAGACTCCAGTTACTTCTCTGTAAGATTGATGTAGAATATTTGGTCACGGGTAAGCGCTCCGTCCGTGGTGTGGCCCCAAACATCACTCTCCGTCATGCCCTAAAATGAAAATCAGAGTTTTTGCTCTTCCAGATGACTCTACAGAGCTGAGGGGTGCACCGTTCGATTTCCCATGAAAAATACTACCGAATGGTGTACAACTCAGGTTTCACACAAAACTTTGTTTTTCTCACTTTTTTGCTCCCCATTGCCGATCGTCCTCCCAGCCCTTGGCGCCACGTGCGATTTAGCGAGAAATTCTCTCCACCGACGTGGACTCCGGTCACTTGTCTGTAGGAAAGAGGTAGAATATTTGGTCACGGGTAAGCGCTCCGTCCGTGGTGTGGCCCCAAACATCACTCTCCGTCATGCCCTAAAATAAAAACCAGATTTTTTGCATTTCCAGATGGAACTCGCAGACCTGAGATGTGCCCCATTCGATTCTCCATGCAAAATGCTATCGAACGATATACATCTCAGTTCCCACTTGAAACTTTCGTTTTTCACCGTTTTCGGCCTTTTCCTTATCGCCGATCGCCTTCCTCAGCCCTGGCCACCCACGTGCTATTCACGTGCGCGGAGCGTGAGAGCTCACGTGACAGCCGATGGCCTTTCTCGGTAGCTGGCGGGCAGCCCGATCGATACACCGCTATGCGTGTCGAAAGTGCGTGGGAAAGTCACCACGCACCGCGCACGTGAATAGCACGTGGGTGGCCAGGGCTGAGGAAGGCGATCGGCGATAAGGAAAGGCCGAATGCAAGTAAACTTACTCTACGATAGGGAAGAGAGTTCGTCCCTCCCTTCTCGAATTTCCTCAAAACATCCCTTCGAAAATTGGGAAATGTCACAAAATGGATCTAGTGGCAGGTAAACTAGATGTTCTCCAAAAAGTGAGTTGTATACCGTTCGACAGTATTTTTTATGGGAATTGAATGGTGCACATCTCAGTCTTCTATGTTCATCTGGAGAACCAAAAAAATCTGATCATATCGCAAGGGCATGACGAGGTGTGATGTTTGGGGTCACACTACGGAAGGAAGACTCACCTGCCACCAAGGTTTCTATGTAATTCCTACAGACAAGTAACCGTAGTCTACGCCAGTAAAGGAAATTCGTCGCTGCCTTCACAGCTTTCTACATAACATCTGCTCTAAACATGGAACATGTCGCAAAAAATGGGGCGAGGTGTGATGTTTGGGGGCCACACTACGAGAATGAATGTCATATTCGTAATCAGGGCATCGAATTACCCCAATAGGCAAAGTTTCGACGAAAAATGAAACTTTGAGATTTTGGGGCAGTAATAGTGGAATAATGATGCCAATTGGCAATAGGGGAAGGCTGAAAACGGTGAAAAACCAAAGTTTCAACTGGGAGGAGTAATGTATATCATTCGATAGCATTTTTCACGGGGAATCCAATGGGGCACATCTCAGGTCTGCGAGTTCATCTGGAAATGCAAAAAATCTGATTTTTATTTTAGGGCATGACGGAGAGTGATGTTTGGGGCCACACCACGGACGGAGCGCTTACCCGTGACCAAATATTCTACATCAATCTTACAGAGAAGTAACTGGAGTCTACGTCTGTGGAGAGATTCCTGGCTATCTTCTCAGGTTTCCGCAAATCATCTCCTCTAAATGTGGGGAATGTCACATAATAGGTCTACTACTACTGCTGGAAACTGTTCGAAGATTCTCATTTGGAGTGGAAGAATGGGTTGATCAGCGCACGGTTAGCCAATTAGCGCTCTAGAACGAATTAAAGATCGTGAAATTCGAAAAAAAACATTCATTCAATCTCACCATATGGTGGACCGGTTGGGTACGTGGCGTATTCTGAGGGTGTTGAGATCCATGTTTCTGTGGGATGATCAGGCTGCATAGGAGGACTTATATGCGCATCACATACAAAGTATATTCATTACTTCTCGGGATGGAGGTCGAGTGCATGGCGCAATCCTAGATGGAGCTCTTTCAGAAATTGAATTTAACCATCTTGTAGATCTCGAGCAGAGCTATCAGATGGTATAAACTGCAGGTCGAGCGAACCATTTTTTAAAGAGTTATGGCGAGCCGACGGTTTGCGACGGTTTCCGACCGTCGCAAACCGTCGATTGAACAAAAATTAGTAGCGGTATTGTAGTGGCATCCAGTGCGTCATCTGATAATTCAATGGGACTGCTATACGAAGTGCAAATTTGTTGTTTTTTAGATGAAAGACTACCATAATTCCGTTGGCTACGAGCACTTTGAACTCAACCACAAGCGCAGCTACTGCTACTTCAACGGAAGCTGTCGTGAGTTCCACACAAGCCACATCTACGTCAACAGCCACCACCAAGAAGGAAATGGAGACCAGTACCGAATCGCTGTCAACGCAGACTGAAACCATCCCTGTCCCTACAGAAGCACCAACGACAATATCGTCGACAGTAAGAGTACGACAAGCAAGCGTCGACAAGCTAGCGACGAGCCCGCTCCCATCAACGAAGCTCCGACGAAACTGCAGTACTAATTACGCACGCTCCAACGCGGTCCTCTTCTACTCCAGCACCAGTGCCCACAACAGCTTCGCCAAGTACGACGCATTCCGCAACGGCTCCTCCTGTGCCGAGAGCTATCGCACCAGCACGTGTACAACCACCGGAACAGAGAGAATTCGACGCTCGAGTTTGTTTGCGCACTACCACCGGACCAGGATCATGCGTCGATGTATCGTCTCGATGGTAAGTTTACAGAGGTGATAATCGCTCTCAAGCTTTGTCGAAAGAACGAATTCTTTTTTGAATCACTAGGTTGTCTTTATTTGAGGTCTTGCAACGCCATAAGCAGTCAGTGTGAACAGTTCTGTGCGGCTCTTGGGCGGAACGAGAATATCGCTGATAGAGTGTGTGAATAAAGTGCATGCCTGGTGACTCATCTAGGCCGTGCTCTCGCTAACCCATTCTCTCACGATGCTGTTTCGAAGTAACTGTAAATTCGATTTCAGCTCAATGACTGGCATTGGTTATCTCACGACCGAATCGATGCAACTACGAGCGAGATGGAGGCTCGGCAAAGTTACAAGTCAAGTGTGAGTTGTCTAAATGCTATAGAAGCGAAAATCGACTCATAAATTGTCTGGCAAGTTGCTTCAGAAGACTAGCGTTGGGGTGATGGAAAAGTGCTGTCCGTCAGTGCAGCTCTCTTTCTAGGGCATAATTAGTGGTTTAAAGCGAAGGTGGTCCGAGTAGGCGTGTATAGCGTTTTGCAGCTGAGTTGTGGAGTTTTCACAACGGAAGGCCTTGAAGAAAACGAAAACGACCGTCACTAAGCGGAAAATAGAAAGCACATCTCATTAGTAGCTAAAGGGCGAACCTAGCAGGCGAGGTTGTCTGGACGAGTTTCCAGACTGCCAGCTTGCTGGCTTTTGTCCGTGGTTGTAAGGAATATTACTTCAGCTGTATTTCATGCCGTATCCAGCCCAAGACACTCTCGCGTTCAGCTCAGCAGGCTGAGATACCTAAAAATGCTCTGAGAGCGGCCCTATAAGCGGTTGTATTTGAATTAGCGTAGCGTGTGTTGTCTCTTGGGTAGCGACCAAGTCACAGAGGGTGATGGAAGGGAATTGGTTTGGTCAGCCTTAGTCCGGCAATGGCTTCCCAGGCGAGTAAAGATATCACATGGCCAGTAGAATAACAACAGATGTGGTCACAACGTAAAGTGGTAAAGAAAAAATAGCAAGAAAAACCGCACAGATCCAGAAAATGGGACCCATTTTAGCACGTTGCCTCCGCTTGGGACGAACTTGAGACGAGCTTGTCGCGGGTGTCAAGCGCGATATCCGGCATCATGTCAGCAAACATAATCTTCGATTGATAACGACTACTTAGAAAACTCAAAGATACGCTTAGAAACTTCAACTAAAGGTCAAAACCTATGGTGAACTCGCATAACGTCAAAATGTTTCGTCAGCATACGCGCGATCAGCGCGGACTTGCGTGGGTAGGGCTTCCTAAGATAGCGGATGTCTTCTTCTGCAGGGTGAATATCGCTTGAGGATTCCTCAACGGCACGTCGAGGATTCTCTGCCCGATCAGAGACGATCTCTCGCGCGGACATTCACACTCGCCATGCCGTGCCGTCTGTGCTCTCCGCGCGGATGTTCACTCTCGGCACTACTCTCGCATGGTAGAGAGCTATGGTCGAGGATTTCCTCGACCGTTATTCACCTGTGTGGCTTTCCCAATAGGTCGACTATTTTCCTCAACCCTCCGACCTTTGGGAATTTTTCTGCGAATTGCAGAATGTATATCAACATATCACCCTCGCGTTTCTTTGATGGACTCGTCGCTTGCTTCTTGGATAAGTTCATAAGCAGTGAGGCATTTGGCTCACATGACCATTCAACAGCTTCGTGCAAAACCGTGCTCCTTCGCTCGTTTATATAAGTGTCGCTACCCTTCGACCTATCCTGTTTCTTTTCGGGAGATCACTTGATAAGAATTTGCTCTTCGTGAACAACCAATGGGTTGCTGGCCAATGCAGCTGGTGCCATCGTTTACACAAGCTGGGGTAATTCATGGGTTAAAGGTTGGCCGGTGACTCGCACCTCGTTCCTTCAATTTTCACTAAGAATTTGGGAGGTATGCGACATTTGGCCCAATAGGAGGTGAAAGCATTCTGACGTTAGAACACTTTTATTCACTAGAGATGATTCGTTTCGCCTCAATGGCGTTTGGGATCCATTCCATCTTCAGTTCGTATTTTTGCCCCAGATCACTACGATGCCAGTTATTGGCTTACCATATGGAGTTAGTGGGAGACCTTCGTCCCGAAAAATAACGTTGAAGAAGCTGGGAAAGGAGAAAACCACAGCACCTTCTCACACCTTGATGGGGTTTGAAAACAACCAACAGGCCTTCATACATGCTTGGTGTTTGTACTGGGATGAAAACGACTTCTTCAAGAGTTGATGCCATCGAAGAATTCATATTTGAAGGTATTTCAACATGAAGAATTTGCGGTGCGAGCAGTTTGTCTATGAAGGACGAGGAGGCAACGACAATCAGTTCGATACTCTCAGCGACTGCGAGCGTTACTGTGCACGTGAGCTACCCACTTATTTGCATCCCTTTCCCGACTTTCCCAAAATGAAAATTTTTCAGCTCAGCCTGGACCACACAGGTATGTCACTCAGCCACCAACAACATCTGCACGTCCACCAGCGCCTGCTCCAGCTCCAGCTCCAGCTCCCCAACAGTCGCTTCGCCCCATCGCTGCTCAACCGCTGCCAGACAGGCAAACAATCGACGATATCCTGGACTACGACGAAAAGGTTGGTTGGCAAAAATGTGCAGTCGGGTAACTTCTGATCGGTCAATTTCAGCTGTCTCAATTCATCGATAAGTCGGACTCCTCCACCTTTGCACCCGCAAGCCATGCCGCTGGCAACTCGATCGACAACAGGGCTCCTTCTCCTTTAGCGCCTGCCCCTCAAGTACCGGCCTCCGTTCTTTCGCCTGGCGCCCAGCCAAGACCGCCAGCGGTACAGGCTGCTAAAACGGTCGTCCATAGGGAAAGAACTCCTGAAAAGTTAGTGCTTATTGATATTATAGGTTTTATCTGTAAGGATTTTTTACTACTCAGTAGACCTGTGCTGGTTTAGATCTGCCGAAAAGGCTGCTATTCCGGAACAAAGGAAGGAAATCTACAAGGTTGGTTCAATCTATTCCATCCGTCGCAATGCATTTCCAAAACTCTATTGCTACAAATGACGTATTCCAACAATTCTTTTTTTCTTAGGCAGAACCTCTTCCCTCCAAACCACCTGCCACGGGTAACGAAAACCTTCCAATCGTTGGTCCAAGCCCACCGATGTCGGTCAATTACCAGACCGGAGAGGTAATTGCGATTTGAACTTCATTTGTATCAACTATACATGACTTACACACTTGGTTGGATTAATATTCGCTTTCGAACAGAAGTAATCAACAAATTTGCTGCCTTCAATAAGTATGAAGGAGCTTAAAATACCTACTTAAACGTTTGACGTTCGCTCACTTCGTACTCGTCTGTTTTGTGTATGGTTAAAGGCAAGATTCAAGCTTAAACTGATGAGGTAATTCTACTCAAATGTGATGTAGGGGCGGGAGGTGGACCGCCAGTGGAGAAAAAAGGAAAAAAATTCGTGAAATACACAGGAAATACGAGCCTTTTGCTCTACGTTGCGGAGAAGTTCAAAAGGCCGGCAGGGAGATGAGAGATAATGTGAGCGCGGAGAGCGGTAGAGAAATCCGAGAAGAGAGAGCATAGCAGATCAGCATTGCGACGCAGACAAAATATCGAGCGGTGGGCGGAGCGTGTCGCAACAGGTGGAGCGTGTCAAAGTCCTTGGCCCCTAGCGCCTTAGTGACGCATTTCGATGCGGGAACTTGGCGAGTCGCCTGCAGTTGCGTCCCATGCACTTCTAGCCACTTTAAGGGCTTATTAGGTGGGTCTGAGCCCGAACTTTGCCTTTAATTCCTAGTAGACCACTATGCGGTGTTGCTGCCACCGTTGGTCTTTCCGATTGAATCGTAGCGCGAACCCAACACAGCAAAGCGTGAAAGGTAGAACATATCGCGCTGATCAATTTTTTTGGGATGTGCCATGCACTCCATTTGATCCTCCGCTTCCGCTTAAAATCGTAGCGGAATTTCATTTTCGTTGGGGGCCTATACAGAGGTTGCATGTCAACCGCTAGGCAAGTGGTGTTTCCAGTTAAAGGCATGCCCCAGGATCACATTGGTGTGGCTCTTGCACACGAATGCGAATGTATTGGTGCGAAATGGGCCGGCAGTAAAGAAAAAAGGAAAAGAAAACGCTTAGGTTAAGGGCTCACTCACCTTCCTAATCGGCTGTGCTAAGGGAATGAGAGACTAAGCGCGGAGAGGAGAGTATGAGGCGAGAGAGCGCTACAGATGAGAGAGCGCCAGACAACAGCCTGATAAGAGAAAAAAATCTGCAGCTTCAGCAGCTTACTTTGCAAGGCCCAAGCGCTCTTGTCGGTTGGTTTCCGTGCACGGGAACGCCACATTTGTGACTCTAGGGTCTATACTACAGACCGAAAAAAAGCGTTCACACGACCTCTGCCTGGGTTGTGCCTTTAAGTTTGATACTAGTTATCCTGGGGTGAAGGAAGGTTTCCCTAGCAAAGAGGGTTTCTAAAACAAATGTCATAGCTTTGCTGGCATCCTTTTCGAGAGGGTCTGCTTTTTGATGCTGTAACAACGGCCAAGGTAGCACCGAGCAACGGCCAACAAGAAGGTGGAGAAGTAATCAGTGAAGAGTTTGGAAGGAAAGCGACACCTAGGCTCCTCTCAGATGCATCTGCGCAGGTTAGATATTAGACGACAAGGTAGTAAGGCAATGTCACGGTTTCCTTCTATCGTATAGCCCGGGGTAATTGCGCGCGCATCTGCATCGCTGCCCTTCACCTTCCATCAATAGTTCATTCATCGGCAGTCGTTGATCAGTCTCAGATCGAAGCACCCAGACTGATCAAGGGTTTGTTGGAAATCCTACGACGTGTTACCGATCAATGCGTCTGTCGTACCGAAACTCTAGACAGATGAAAAAATAAAAGGATGGAGCATTCGGCATTGGTTAATCCTTTTTTGACACGCATTCAGCTTCTATTTTTCGTAGTGGTTTTGAATGAACTTGGCCAATGCAGTGGCTTGCGCAAGATACCATGTACAAGTCAGTGTTTTTGTCCTTCCAGACAAAAACACTGCTGAATTTTACATTGGTGCCAAATAACCGTTGAGATGGAAGGTTCGGTTGACCTGGACGGCGCACGATTGAGAACTAAATCCAACGGATCCCATATCTATATAAATGGATGCAGTGCACATGGCATAGCACCACTTTAGGCCATGGACAGATTTTGCACGCATTCCAAAGGGCTTTTCTTACCCGCGATCAAGCGCATGTGTAATAGTCCTTCTGTCTCAGTAGTTCCAAGTTATTGTAGCATTTCCAGAGATCGATTAGTGAATACGGGAACATAGCAGTAGTACTCAGTTACAACCTGACCGTTGAAAAAGTACAACTAAAACAAAAGATTTGCAAAAATAGCGATTGACAAAAGAGAACAAAACTGCACCGTCACACCTCAAAAAATGCAAAATCAATTTTACTGAAGTGAGATAGTTTTTTTATAACTTCGTATAATGTATGCTATAATCCAAGAGAATCATTTATTGGCTTTTTCTAATCACAGATCAAGAGCTTTCCGTCTTCAGATAAAGAACAAAGCAAGTGGCATCCGAACCTTCCAGCAGTCATCTTCTAGGATCATCGTTGAAGATTCAGGTACTTAAGATTTCTGAAAGCTCACTTATGTTAATAACTAAGGACATTCAAGATCTCACTGAAGCCGAGGAAGAAAGGAGAGATGCGCTGTCGTGTCCCAACGGACTGCAAGAACTTCGATACGCGGATGGACGACCGGTCATGTGCCTTCCAGGAAAGAATCAGGTAATGATGCCTGTCATGTTTATTTCAAAGCAATTACTTATTGAGAACCAGCGCTGCCTTTGTAGTAGTACAGATATCCTAATCTATACATATAAGTGTACTCGATTGGCTAGTAGTTGCTATTCAGTGCGCCACTTTTCTGGTCATAACTGAAAAGCACTTTTCCTTTTCAGTGCCCGGAGAAATCATCGTGTTATTTCAATGGAGTGGACTTCTTCTGTTGCCCCAACGAGGAGGATCCCTACGACAAGCACGTGTTCGGAGGTAAATTGGTTTTGGTGGAAATTTCGTTTTTCCATCAAACGTTACGCGCCTATAAAAATAGAGGGAGCGCGTGCACTCGTAATTGCTGTGTCTGTAAGGCACGAGTCACAATCAGATTCTTGGAGAAATCCTCACAATGACTGAGGTACCAGGGTCCTCAAGTGCACTGTCGCGACCTGTGATACGAGGGTGCTACTGCAACCTTGACCGCTGCGACCGCTGCAACCGCTGCCATTCTTGTCGTTCGCAGAATGCGTGGCGCCCGCCTCCTTACGTGCAGCGTGCTTTTTCGCGTTTTCCTCTCCTCGCAGCGCTGCCTCATTACGTCGTACCACAGTCGACCTCACAAGGAAGGAGGCTCTCAATTTCGATGTTTGCTGAGGTTCCTTTGACCTCGTTCCTCTTGCTGTTCTCGTCGCACCTCTTGTTTCAATTTAGAGCGAAGTGACACGAAAACTCGATCGCGACCCATTCTTTCAAAGTCTTCAGAGAAAGGATTTCGAACTTATGTTTTTCTTATACGCCGTCCCTGAAGTGGGCTTTCTTATATGCCGTCCCTGAAGTGGGCATCAAAGTTTGGCTAAACTCCTGTGGAAGTGAGCGTGCGATCATTCCTACAACCTGCTTGAGGAATGAACTAATCAGATCTACTAGAAATCTCGGTCACCTATTTGGAAAGACCTTCGTTCAAGAGCGAGGACACATTGGCACTTATGCGAAGAAAGGCTCACTGAAAACGTCGAGTAGGTCTCTAAGAAAACCTAGCAATGCCTCCAAGAAGGTCCTGGATCGCCTTATTTTCAGTAATTAAATAAATTGTCAACTGAATATAGTAAACGCGGACGATTCAAATTTCGCACCAGCAAGCAAACTTCGACCACCGAACCCTTTTGCGAGCTTCTCGTTAGAACTTTTCTGACGCTGGGCCACTGTTGCTGTGGGAAGGAAATGAGGCAAATGTATTGCGGAAAGCCTTCTGATAGAATTGAGAGCTTGGTGATACCGTTATCTGGCTGCGTTTGCGTCATCATAGATTAGCTTTTCATGTATATTTTTAAGTTCAATCTGTCAAAGGGTGTGTCACTCCACAGAAGCTCCAATAATCATCGTTCACCTTAAGGCTACGACGGTGAGGAGACGAAGCATGGCTACAAGGTGTTTGGACCTTTGAACATCCGTCGCCTTATGGACGAGGTGCCACTTCGAGTTCGTCGAGATGTGAGATCAGTTCGAGCACGACGCCAAGCCTCAGATAGCGTCTTCAGCTCTGGACCTGCTGCCTTCAACATCGACTCCATCACCGCGCCACTGCGCTTTGACGGTGAGTTTTTCCATGAGATGCGAAAAAGTTTTGAGACTGGAGAAATACATCATTTTCCAGTCAGTCAACTCTACTTGACTCTTAGGATTTTTTACAAATTTGCAGGACTGTGCACTGCAGGTTTGTGAAGTAGATGTGACGGAATGACTGCCCCAAACCGTCCATAAAGATTAATTTTCATGACTCATATCATCCTGTCTTGCAATTATTTCGAGAACCATCCCACCTTTTTGGAAGAATTTGTGCCGAAGTTCCTCATTACAGATGAGAAACCTCGCACGGTTTCCCGAGCTCAACGAATGCGTGCCAAGCCGTCTCCACCGCATCACGGAAACCCTATTTGTATCGAGCCCTTGGCTACCGGAGACTGCGATGCTGCGCATCTGAGGTATGGTCGCTCATTTTTCACTAATTTTCTTCATCTCGAAAAACTCAAAGTGAACGATTGTTGATATAGATTTCGCCAGAATGTCCATTCCATCAATTTATTGCTGATACAAGTCTGTAGGGCTCAAGAGGACTGATAAACAAATTGTAGTGAACATGCTACTAAACAAATCTTTTGAAGCCTTTTCAAACTTTTGAACTTTTCTAAATGGAAAAGCGATGCATAAAACATTTTTGAAGGCAGAATTCACGATGAAAAGTTAGCTCATTGGAAATAAGGGTAGAGGTGGTCAGTGGAGCAGGGATGAAGAAGAAACCATTTGAAACGGCCCGAAACCCGAGAAATGGGACCCCTTCCTTGCCCGTTGATTTGCGCATTGATGCGACTCTCATCGCTGTGCCCTCTTCAACACTACGCTCTCTCTGCTATCTAATCACTCGCCACGTATAGACCTGCGGCGAGTGATTAGATAGTCGGTGGGCGTACCCCGCCAACCGCGCCAAGAGTGAGCCATGCTAGATCGCCGAGGTCAAATCTTTCGCTGCCAATTGCGCGTCGGTCAGCACCCTCAGGAGGTCCGCCTTCTCCCAACTACTATGCAATTTTCCCCTTCTTTGACCTTCGTTCTTATCGTGAATTCCTCCTTCAATACACAACATAGGTGAACCCATGGGACGGTTTTGCTGCTGTATTGCCCCTACCCTGTACGGCAAATACGCATAAACCATATCGGTAGGTCCAGGACAACTTTCCACTTTCAGCGGACACTTGAGCACAGTTGTTTCACCTGTGATTAATACCGTTGGCAATATGAAGACCTAAAAAACAAACATTCCAGGTACTACTACGACCGCGACTCAGACAAATGTCGACTGTTCTACTACACCGGCTGTAAGGGAAACAACAACAACTTTGGTAGCGTCATTGATTGCCAAAGGCTATGTGTTCTCGGCGGACAGCGT